TACTCCATGCTAACTTAATTCTTCTGTTGATTTCTGGTAGTAGAGATTCCGATTTATTAGAATGTATTTTCTATCTACTAGTTCGTTGTAGCGGGTGTCCCACTAAGAATAGCTCTCGGCTATATCTCGGAAAGTATTAGCCGTAGGGCTTATGGAAAAAAATATTTATCACTAAAGGGGCTATGAGAAATTGCTGGAAATTATTTTCATGTTTGTAAAACGGCCGCTAGGTGGCGCAACTGCTATCGAAAATAAGAAAATCGATTTTTTCCAGAATTTTGCCTAGATAATGGGTACTATAAATAATAGCTTCACAATTTTCAGTAAATTTTGGATTTTTTTTGTTAGAACCATTTTCCCCTATCTGCTAAAATAAAGTGGTGGGGGAAGGTTAGATCTATCTGTATTTAAATGTTAATAACTCCGGACTGGATGATCAGAATCCAATAACCGAGGGCTCCTTTAAAAGAGCGTTTCTTACTCTATATTATACCATAAAAATAATAATAATAAAGTTTTGAACGCAGCCGCTAGGGGGCGCTCTCTTACAACTTAACAAACATAGCACGTTTTTTTCAAAAAAAAATTAAATACAATAGTATTTGTAATTTTAGCTGATAGTAAAGAGTAATAAACGCTTAAAAAGTTAGCAAAAACCGCATCTTGATATCTTTTTTCAAACCGAAGATATTAGCAAAATTATAATAAATACCAAAAAATAAGCCCTTAATTACCTTATTTTTACAACACGGTATCAGTAGCCCTCTTGATTATGTCCATTCTAACACAAAATAGGATAGAAACAGTTAGTTTATTTTAAAATCGACGAAATACCAGAATATCATAATACTAGATGTATTAATATCTAATAATTAAGACATTGATAACAGTGAACAAGCAACGATGATTCAGTGAAGTCATGGCAGGCTTTAGAAAAAAGTTGCGTTTGACGTAATAGTATAAACGTCAAATTGTTATTAGATCAACATTTTGATGGTCTTAGCAGCGTTTTTTTATCTTTTGATTGCTTTTTCAAAATGCCAACAATTTCATCTACTTCAAATAATAAAGGCATTTTGAAAAAGCAATTAAAAAATAAAAAAAAACGCTGCTAAGATTATCAAAATGTTGATCTAATAACAATTTGACGTTTATACTATTAAGGGGCGTCCAGACCAGATGAGCGAGCAGTAACGAGCGCTATAGTAAACGCCACGAATGTTTGGGAGTGATTCATCGGTCGCTACCATGTGAACTAATATGTTCAAGGTCACTTAAAACTTAATTCCAGTGCCGTGGTGTTTCAAGTCATATAATAATCAATATATAATCTGTTGTAATTTGTTGTTTTAACTATCAAAGTCATGTCAAAACATATATTTGATTATAAATATAAAAAGGAATGCCCCGTTCGTCGTACTGCAAGCACACCAATGGACTGACGCACAAAAACGAATCAATCAAAGACACGCGATATAGTATCGTCTTTGTCAATCACGCTAACATTTTGGAATAAGTAGGAGGAGCGCAGGCAGATGATTAGACCGGGCCTTTAAAAACCTACGTCTGCGGTAAAAATTTACGTTTTTAATGTAAAAATGATAGCGCGCGTGTCGATTCTAACTTCATCAAGCGATGAATCACTCCCAAACATTCGTGGCGTTTACATTAGCAAACATTTATTCAAATTCGCTCGTGATTTCTGCTGCTCTCGAGCACATGATCAGCTTCCGTCCAGACCTAGCGATTATTTGTATGTTCGGCGTTGATCGGTGTGTGGCACTTCATGTTCATAATGTCGGAAAAAGTTATTGCTTGTGCGTCTTTCATTGTATTTTATAAATTGTTGAAACGTCAAAAGAGAACACGACTGCAGAGGAGATGGTGGAAAATAACTCTTTATAAAAATCGAGTTTCTCATGGTGGTAAAAATTTACTAAACGATGTTGAAACAGAAGATTCTGGGAAATTTAAGAACTTTTGTCGGATGTCACTTACAGCTTTTAATACCTTATTAGATTTAATTGACATAAAAATAATGAAAAGTGATACGAATTACCGAAAAGCAATTTCACCTAGAGAAAGGTTAGCTATAACCTTACGGGTCTTGGCGATTTTTGTACTCCTCTATTAGTTCTAAAACAACTTCATTCGGCCATTCCATTTTTGATATTCGATCGCAAACGTGGTAAACACAATCCCGTCCAAACCGAACGTGCAATAGCGCGAATTTTCTTTGATGTACCGACACGGCGTGGAACAGCGTCGAGCGGGAGCAAGCAATCATTCGCTCGCTCGCAGAGCCGTCTACACCAGTAAAGGATGATTCACGGTACACCGTGACGGGCCGGAGCCGTGCGACGGTGAAGGCACGGCCAAACATTGTCAAATGTTATTTATACTTATACATTCATGCTAAGCCGAGCACGGTCCGAGCTTCGCCGGAACGCGTCCGTGCCCCTCCAAGAAATGTC